TTCACAGTGGCGGCTATAGTTTAATGAGACGGGTCAGTGATGCGAGCCGGGTTGTCGTTTTTCGCCGCTCGGGGCTGTCCTCGTGAATGGACAAGACGAGGGCATGCGACAGGATCTGAGTGGTGGAGATAGAAAAAGAGGCGTATGGAGCCGACAGCCCCTCGCGTTACAGACTTGGCAAAATTCCTGGATCGGGGCGTGCGGGGTGGTGGTGTGCATGGCCAAGTACCCTTTGGCAGGAGCGCCCGCAGAATCGTACCTCGCGTACCTGCCCAGGTTGATCTGGTTCCTGGCAGCACATCCGCGCTAGAGCTCGGCTACCGTTATCGTGTCTGATCCCCTGGGCTCGTGCGCTGATCACCCTGCAGTTTCGCCGCCAATCAAAAGTGGCGCGCAACTCTTTAGCTCGCACAGCCTCCCCCACAGCAGCCCGCAGCCGCCCGGATTCCACATATTTGTAACTTCATACAACCTGCCCACAGGTATCGCGTATCCAACCCTCCCGCCGACCACCCGGGGTCCAGGACGACTTGCCCTGCGTGCGTTGCATTCCTAGATGCTCGGGCCAGAGCCAGAAAGGGCCTTTGATTTGCCGCGCAGCTTAGTACCCCTTATTATGGACAGGCCTGTCCTTCCCAACCTGCCCTTGCGCCGCCAAGACGAAACCAAGTCCCTGCGGGAGCGTGCTCGCGATGCAGGGCTATCATGTCAAGTATACGAACAGTAGGTAGTACTCAGATTGTCTGCGAGTATCTGCTAGCCACTGCGGTACCTACAGAGAGCCTCATGTGTTTTAGGACTCGCTTTGAGGCCCGCCACCAGTCTGCTCTTCCCTGGGGGCCTGCTTGTTCGTCCAATGTGCGCCGAGTAGATAGGGTGACAGGTAGCCTCCCCTACAAGTTGCGTAAGTACGGAGTAACCAAACAGTCATAAGAAGCCGCCGTTATTCAAGAGAGCCAAGACTCTCCCCATCTCTTCCACTTTCGTTCTCGAAAACGTGCGCGCCCGGGGATCCACCTATCACTGTACTTACTTAGGTAGGTACCGTCCAGACAAACAGACCAAGTACCTACCACTTCTTCTCCTGCCTCCTTCGCGATGCGCTTCTAGCCACGGACAACAATTCTTCCCACCCTCCTTCTTTTCGACGACAGCCAGACTGTCGGCGCTGGGCGTCTTTTTTCACCACGCTCCTTTCCTGGTTGATTCCAGCCCAATACCTACCTAGGTACCGGTACCATCGTTCCTCAGTGCCCGGCGCATCCATCCGTTCTCTTGCCAACACCGCCAGCAAACATTCTGAGCCTGAGAATCCCAATATCTCGACTCCACGTTCATTTCAAAGACGAGACCCTGGGCCCTTTCTCTCCCACACACGCCTTCAAGGTCGCGACTTCCCGCCTCGTTTCCAGCCGAGACTCTTGATTCCACTCCACCCTTCCAAGTCGCGTGCATCCTCACCATGCAACACACGAAGGCAGCCTGTGCTCTGGCCCTTCTCGCCGCGTCGCGAGTCGCCCAAGCCCACAGCTGGGTCGAAGCCGTCCGCCGTCTGGACCTCACCGGCGCCTTTACCGGATCTACGGGCTACACGATCGGGTTCCTGCCCCGGAGCGCGAGCGGCGGGGATGCCGTGCACCTGACCGAGATCCTGGACACCAGCAGCAACCCGGCCGTGTGCAAGCCGATGAGCTCGAGCGACACGGCCCTGTACTCGCCGCTCGACGCCTCGGCCGGCGACTACGTCGCCCTGCAGTACCAGGAGAACGGGCACGTGACGCAGCCCGACCTGACGCCGCGCCCCTACCGCTCGGGCAACGTCTACGTCTACGGCACGCTGCAGCACGAGGACGGCGACGGCATCAACGACGTCATGGCCTGGACGGCCGGGGGGGACGGCGGCGACGGCCGCGGCCAGCTCCTGGCCACACACTTCTTCGACGACGGCCAGTGCTACCAGGACGTCGGCGCGACGCCCAACGCCATCGCCGACGCGCGCCGCGCCCGCGCCGGCGGCCTGCCACAGCTGTTCTGCCAGACCGACGCCCAGCTGCCCGCGGGTCTGCCGCAGACGGGCACCTACACGCTCATGTGGGTGTGGGACTGGCCACTCATCGTGTCCGACACGCAGAACGCGACGCAGATGTACACGTCGTGCGCGCAGGTCAACCTCGGCGGCGGCGATAATGCCAAGGTAGAGGCCGTGGGCGCCATGCGCTACGCCGAGGCCAACGCCGTCGGCACCGCCGTCGCCGGCGCCGGCATCGCCTCCCAGCTGAGCCGCGAGGTCGAGGCCAACGGCCTCGGCGTCGGCCAGAGCAGCCCGCCCGCCCCCACCGGCATCCTGACCCCCGCGAGCGTCGACATCGGCGTCGTCGCCACGTTCGCCCCGGGCGCGAATGCTGCCGCGCCGACGATACTATCCTCCGCAGCCGCTGCCGGGGCGGCGGCGTCCTCCTCTGCCGCCGCTGCTGCTGCTGTCTCGTCGTCGGCTGCTGCTCCTCCTCCTCCCCCGACGCTGGTGGTTGGCGCCGTCGACATCGTCACCGTGACCGGCGCCCCCGTCATCGTCACGCAGACCGTCACCGTCACGCCGCCCCTCGTCAAGCCGCGTGGCGCGCGGGTGACTGGCCAGGCCCGGCGCGAAGCCGGTTCGCCCGGTTCCTGAGAAAAAAAAACCATACCTTCCTCCGCCCGCCTTCTCCCCCTTTCGGTTTTTCGCTTTCGCCTGATTTTTCTTCTGCGTTTTGCGCTGCCATTCAACTTCGATTCTCACTTCGATTCTCTGCACATACTTCTTCTTACGACGCAATTTTTCACAACACGATTTCCGAGGCCCACGGGGGAGGCGGGGGCCAGAAGGCGAGCGACAGCTGCCTGGTTGTGGACACTGGCCGAACATGTTAACCCGGGCGCCCTGAAGGGGTTTTCGTCACAACTACATCTACCGGGAGAGAAAGATGAAGGAAACTAAGGAGAAAACAATTTCAGCATCTGGACGGAGTTCTCCGCGCGAGGATGAGGAAGCGGCGACGGACGGGCCGCCGGGCCTGCGGTAGATACCCCCTCTGGAACACACGGCGGGAATCTCTTTCATCCAGAATAAGGCGGATGGGCGGGCAGGGGCAGACAGACGGGAAAATCCAGATGACGGGATTAGGTCTTATCATGGGCGTTGGCGGTGTCAGGCGTTGGTGATGTGATGTCGCTTTAGTTGCAGATCCAGGAACGACAGTGTGTTCGTCCGCTGAGAGCTGGCTGGCTGACTTAGGTGTTGCTGAATACCCCGAGCAGCTTGAAAAATCAAAAGCTTACGTCCTGCTCTATCTGACTCGCAAACACCGTGTGACAGGAACTGCCTCACTATCTCGTCGCATGTGCGTGTGTATGATTTGTTTCAGCCTGCCAACCTGTCAGGCTTCACCCATGGCTTGTGTCCGTGAGGAGGGGCTCATCTTTGGGATGTTGCTGAGTCGATGGTGTTTTGCTCTTCTTCTTCTCCTTCTTCTTCTTCTTCATCATTGAGAACTATGACTGCAGGCTCAATAGGTACCCAGGACAGGCCACGGTAACAACTTGAAAAGTTCCTGTGCCCCCTTTCCACACCATGCGATCAATCCCATGCCTCCTCTCTCTCACCTTTCATTCTGCGCTCTGTGTCTGCTCCGACCTCTTCTATCTTTCCTTCTCATTCACCCTCGCCTCTCCTTCTCCTTTCTTCTCTGGTTCCTTGTTTATGTCTGCCAATCTCCTAGCCGCTACCGCCGTCGCCGCCGGCCAAGCCCCGGCAGAAAAGAGAGCCCTTCGAGCAAAGAGTCACCGTCGGACTACCTCTATGTACGCATGTGAGCTCGCGCCAGGACTGCTTTCCCCGGTGCGAAGAAGAGAAGTTGAAGGGGGGGGATGGAGGAGCTGCGTGTCCTGTCCTCTCGGAGCGCATCGCTTCTCTGAGGTCCCACCTACCCGGTGAATGTCCACGGCTCAGGTCCTTGCTTTGGGGAGAACGAGTACTCAGTATCCAAGTAATACCTAGGTAAGTAAGTACTCTACCAAAAAAGAAAGAGACCGTTCCCTCGTTATCTGCTCAAGTATGTCCAATGACTCTCATTCTCCCCAATTACCTGCCACACTAGTCGCTGCCGCAGATTTCTAGGTTAGAAGAAGAAGAAAAAAAGGCCACGACGCAAAGGCACGAGCCGGACAATCGGCTCGTAGCTGGCTAGCGTGTAGCAGATGAAGATATAAATCGTATTTTCTCAAGAAAACTGCATATCTCTAAAATGCTTTTTCCATAGCTATCTGCCCTCTCAAGGCCATACTTAACATACCGCTGGTTCTATTGATGGGATTACCATTGCCAACCGAGACGAGGCAAAACCCCCACGAGAGCATCTAGGTCGGCAAGGAGATTACTGCGGCCTTTGTGCTGATAGCCTGCCCGACAACGTCCGCGGTAAGCAACTGACTATACCTAAATACCGAGCCGGCTACCCGACCTGGAGGAGGACGACAATTAAGGGGACAGAGCAGGACGAGGGTACCCAGTGTGCGCACGCGAGCAGTCCGACGAACGAGGACTGGGCTGTTCGGGAAAGAGGAGATGGATCGGCTGGCAGACTGGCTCGAGCAGCAGCGTGAGAGCGAAGGCGGACTTGAGACGCCGCCGTGCCACAGACAAACGCTGCTGGGTACCTGGTGCATTGTGTCTGGTTGTGATCCTCCCACTGGCACCTCTCTTGCTGCCCCATCTCCCTTGCTTGGCGGATTCTCCATTCCAGGGAGCTGTTCTTCGCTAGGCGATTGCTCTCTCCTCGTGCTGTGCCAGATCAGTATTGGAGCGAGCATATGCCCCTAGTACCATGAGCATATCGAATGGACCTGTTCGATAATGACGTGCAAAACAGTCATCCCCACACAGCCTGAAGCGCCGTGAGAACATGCAGTAGATGAGGAGTCCATGCTACTAGTGTGGTATCAATCACAGCAAAAATGAAGCTTGTTGCCCACTACTGGAGTCGAACCAGTCACTTCCTCATGGCATACAGGTGGTGAGTCTTGCGATACTAGTGAGGCGCTCTACCGCTGAGCCAAGCGGGCTTGTCTTGTGTAGGACGTGCAACCCGCATATTAGCGGGATGGGTCGTTCCGACGCTAATTGTCAATATTGAGGCCCACGCACATTAATCCAGAAAGCCGGGGATTGCAGATGGGCGGTGAAGTGAATGGAAGATTTGGAATCGGACGGCCTCAGGGGTTGGCCAAGCAGAGCCTCAATGCATGTCTGGAAGCTAGACGGTGGAAGATGCGGAGAAGCAGCCACTCGGGCTCGCTGGTGCATCTTAATTTGGATGCTGCTCACGCACAAGTCGGCACGCATTTGCGAGGAGCTGAGTTGTAATCATATCCGAATATCATATCCGAAGCTCTGCTGCACAATTAATGACTAAGGGTGTCACGACTTTGCAGCTCTTCGGGAGCGAATGCAGGTGTCGGTAGAGGAGTCGTGTACTCCGTAACTTGCATGGGTATATACAATTGGCCAAAATCTCTCTGCGTTGTGAACAAGAGGTAAGTCTGCGAGATGTCCCCATTGCAGAGCATGTCAGGTAGAGATAAAGTTGGTTGAGCCAATCGTGCGAATATGCGTAGATGGACCTCTGTATTGGATCCCGTCGCAATAATATATCTCTGCATGATGATGGCAGTGGCGGCTTGTCTGTTTGACGCTGGCGAAAGCAATAAATGCGATCAGCTTCCTCTCGGAGCAGCAATGCCTTCCGAAGTCTCGAGACCTCTTGTGCTTCCAACACTTCGTGGGCCTTCGTTGAGAAGTGCCAGTATCTCCCGTACCGTTGTGCAACGATGCTGCCCGAGATCAAGGTCGCCCGACTTGTTGCCCGACTTGTCGCCCAAATCGTCCCGCAGGGACGTCGAAGCTCTAATCGCTCCGAAGGGGACAAACAATGGCCGAGTGATCCCTTGGTAGCGAGTAGGAGGCGCCTCAGCTGGATACGGCCATTCCAGGACCTCAGATGGATTCATGCCCGTATAGCTTTGCGGCAAATTCAAGCGCTGATGCTCAAGCGCCGAAGGGTAGAGATGAAAGACTCCTTTACTCAGCGCCCGGTGGAGACCACGCTGACATTGCTGGTGTGCGCGATCAGGAACTTGCAACAGGTGAGCGCGAACTTGCAGGCTTTTGTCCAGCCCTCCTCGTTAGTGATACCCAGTCGGATGCTGAAATGGCCGATCCGGTCGTCGCCTATCTTGTCCCCTTCGATCCTGTAGGGGAGCACCAGTGGATACGACACAGGCACGCCAGGGCCACCGGCTTCTGTTGTCTGCTGGTGGACGAATGACCCCAGCTGTCTGATCAGCTCCAGGAACGCCACCATGCCTTTGTCAAAGCTTCTGTTGAACAACATCTGGAAAGGGATGTCGCCCGAACAGTAGAGGTCCAGCACCGTTTTCTTGGGAGCTGGGGGAGGGCCAGTCCGGGCAGCACCGAGCCGGCTGGAAGAGGGAGACACTTGCTCGTATTTGATGATCTTGGACGTCGAGCCCATCGGTAACGGTTCATAGCCTTCGAACTTGTGGCCAAGCTTGTCTGCAACGGTGACTACTAGCAGTAGCGCCTGGCCCCAGGCAGCGTTGATCTCAGGCCAGTCGACCGGCTTGGTCGATAATTTGCCCAGACGGAGACCGTTTATGGTTGCAAAGTTGCCGTCGTGGTGTATTGAAAACGTGTCGTTGTAGACGTTGGCGCGTTGCAGCTTCGTTAGCAGCTGGGAATCGTGATCAAATCTGGAGTTAATGCTATATCTCTCGTTCTGAAAGTCCGAGAGCTTGGATGCAAACACGTTGCGTTCCCGCCAAAACTGTTCCTCGTTGGCATCCAACTTCTGCGACTCTTTTTCGAGCGCCATGATCTCCTTGTCCAGAGCAGCCTTCTCTTTCTCCAGCCTCAGCAGTTCCCTCATGGATTCCTCCTCTTCCTTCCTCGCTTTTGCCAGCGCTTGCTCTGCTTCAGCGATGTCGTCTTCGCTGGGTATGTCGGACTGGACCTGCTTTAAGAAGCCAGAGTAGGCGTCTCGCTCTTTGGCCGTTGCCTCGAGCCGTTTCTGTAGCCCGTCTACCAGCATGTCGGTGCATTCGACACACACGGGATGGTCGATATCCGAGCGTGCGGACAAGATCTCGAAGAGCCTGTCGATGCGTTCGGCTTCGTGAGGCTGTGCTGAGCTTCTCGCATTTCGACGGGCCGACGAAAGCGAGTCACGGCGCTGCCGCCCTGGAGCAGGGTGCTCTTGTGGAGGGGTCAGCCTCGGCGGGGCGACTTGGGATTCGGTGAGAAGCACGAAGGACATGGCGGAGCTGTCGCGAGGGTGGCGGTCGCCGCGCAGGGCGCTGCTGTGTTTCTTGAATGTCGCAGGACCAGCATTTTTGGAGGCCCTATCGTACAGTGACCGACGTTCGGCCTCGTGTGGGTAGGATGGTCGAGCAGACGACGGTCGCTTCGGCAGCTGCTGTGACGATGAAGCTACAGACACACAGAGACAAGAGTCAGGCAGGCGGCAGCACGAGACTGGCACAGGGACGACGAACCAACGAGCAGGTCGAAGGCGGCGGGGTTCAGCTCTCCCAACGAGCCGTCAAGCTTGAGGGGAGCTCGACACTTTTGACAGTACATGCTGTCGTCGTTCTGGAGTTGAAGCAGGGACAAGGGTGAGGTGAAGAGGAACCTCGGGAGGAACCTACGATTAGGTAGGTAGAGCTACACCATAGGGAAAGACGTCATCAGCTGGTTGACGGGCTCTCCAGGTGATGCTGCCGCGCTAAAGCAGTCTGCCGACAGCCGCCCCCACCGCGTCAGTCACCTGCCAACGCGCGTCAACATTCCCGCGCGGCGCGCTCCAATCACACTCAACCTCTTTTCAGCACACTTGCCACGCTACCACACCACATGGTAGTGACATGGTAGTGCCTACATTGACGAGAGCGGGTACTGCGGCAAGTCACTGAGCCACGGCTGCCTGAATGCCGTCACCATGGAGCCTGCCTCCAAGCGCCTGAGGATCGGCCATGCGTCCTACGACAGCGACGACGATGAAGCCAACCGGGATGAGCTCTCCATGACGGCTACCCAGTTCAACCTGAGCCAGGACTCCATGTACCAGCTCGACAAGAAGAGAGCCAAGGCCGAAGCCAGACTCAAGTCCGGCTTTGAGAGCATCTTTGAAAAGTACGGGAAAGACTTCACCGACGTGGGCGACGAGATCGACTTACGCAGTGGCGAGGTCGTCACCGACAACGGGCATCTCCGCTCCCTGCAGGACGAAAGGGACGGCCAGAGAGAGGCTTCCGTATCGAGCGAGGAAGAAGACCGAATTCTCGGCGGGACGGGGCCTCGGTCCAAGCAACTGACGGCGGCAAACTCTTCAGTACGCCCTCAGCCTCAACCATCACACTCACCATGGTCTCATACTGCGGCACACCACAGCAGCCCCTACCGACTGTCCTCTCTTGCATTTTCCCCTGGCTTCACTGGCGCCTATAACCCATTTGGAGTGGGCGCCTCGCCTTTTGGCCACGTTCCTGCAGACCCGGCCTGGCAGATACCGGGACTGCCATTGGACGCCTTCCGAAATGTACCTTTCAGGCATGCCCCGGCGGATCCGGCTTGGCAGGTACCGGATCTGCCTACGAACATCCTGCAAAACGGCTTTGGACTCATGGGACAGCCTTTCAGGCCTGGATCCGCACCTGATTATGGTCAGGGAGCACTGGCAAATTTCGGAGGGGGTCGCTACGGCACGCCATTCAAGAAGCTTGTCAACGCAAAGCACTTCTCAAAAAAGCCTGTGGTCCCCGCTGAAGAAGCCGATGCTGATACGGAGGAGGACGACATCTTGCTGGACAGGAATCAACAAGACCCTCCTCCCAAAATGACGCCAGAAATAGGGGTTAAACCAACGCCGGCTGTTCCCTTCTCCCGGGTGGTAGCCAAAAAGGCTCGCAAAGGAGCACAGAAAGCTTTATCGAACGTAGCATCCAGTGACGACAAGGGCAGCTCTCGCCAGTCTGGACGACCCGAGGCTGCTATATCTAAAGGGGAAGATAGGGCGGACCAGGCTAATCAGCGTGGTTCACAATCGCCAAAGCGAGGGCAACGCGGGCAACTGAAAGGGGCGCATGTCCAAAAAGACTCGGAAAGCCTTGATGAAACAGAACGGTCGACAAGGATAAAGGCGACCGATCGGACACAAGACTCTAAGACAGCACTTGACTGCCCGTCCGAGCCACCAGAGAGGACTGACTCACCGAAAAGGTTGGAAAGAGCCAATCATGATGCCAACAACAGAGGAAGCATACCCAAAACTGTGGGTGAGTCTGCCCAGTGCGTAACATCGCCACAGACCGGACGAAAGCCTCGGAAAGCACCTCGAGGCCCTGGGAGACCGAAGAAATCTACCACTGAAGAGTCTCCAAGCCCCCACAATAAGGCCGACCAGGAGTCAGCCACAAGACCACAACCTCTTCCAGTCACCAATGAGCCCAGTCCTCAAACGACACCAAAGAAGCTGCGCAGCATAATTGTAGCAATTCCATATATGCCTCGACCAAGTTCGTCCTCCGCCTTACGGGAGGTTGGAGAATCTACGCCTCAGGTTGTCCCCACGGATGAAGGAAGTGCGGATTCTCACGCATCAGAAGATACTCAGCATAGAAAGTCAATACGCAGCCGTAAGCCGATGGAGTTCTATGGTGACATTGCCTGGCAAAAGCGTGGCGTGAGACCTCCGGATGCTACGAGCCCAGCTGGTTTCCCGGACACAATATCGGATCAAATTGACACCGAAGAAATACATGGCTCGGCGAGAGCTGAAGATAAGCCGAGTGTGGAAATGGCTCACCCGGTCCAGGTTGCAAAGGATACGGAAGGCCATTCATGTAATGCTCTGAAACCACCTCATGAAAGTGCTCATACACCCGAGAAATGGAGTCCTCCCGAGCTTCCAGTATCCGAGGCTATCAACGTCGGCGAGACCGAGAAAATTGGAACAGAGCCTTCCACCCCGACAGCGGAAACCCCACGG